CCTGGGGCGTGCGTGGGTGTCGAGGAGCACGAGCCGCTCACAGGTAGGCGGCGAGGCCACCCCGTCCCGCCAGAGGCCGTCCGTCCAGCAGGGCCGCTTTGCACCTGGGCCCCCCCGCGGGCCGTGGTGTCGCGGGGACCCCCTCAGGCCTTCTCAGCCGTCGCCTGGGTGCAGGAAGCAAGCGCGGGTGGGTGCGCTCCGCCCTCGGGTCGGCGGCCGGGCGGGAAGAGGCCGCGGCGTGGGCCCTGCGTGAGTCTGCAGGCCGAGCAGTGGCGGCCCGTGGGGCCGGGCCGTGGGCTGCCCGCTGTGCGCAGCCTCAGGCGACTGGGGTCCTCCACCAGGCGGGCGGAGCTGAGCGGCGCCTGGCTGACCCCCGAGCCCTGCTGGGCCCGCGCGGAGCCCAGGCTGCGGGTCTGTGTCCTGTCAGCCAGTCCAGCCGCCCTCTCTGGGGAGCCGGAGCCTCCCGGCGGGCAGCGGCGGCCAGGTCAGGGGGAGCAGGGTGCTGGCCACGCTACGCGGGGAGGCCGCTCAGTTCCCCTCCCCTGCAGGTGACATGGGCGGCGACGAGGCCCCCTGGACCTGGGGCTCACCTTCAGGGGGGGCTGTGGCCGAGGGGACCCTCCCAGCATCCCGGCCCGGGCCCACGCTCAGCACGGGGACCACTGGAAGCCCAGGCGGCGCCTCGGCAGCCCCGAGGGCTCACGGGGACACAGGTGAGCGCCGGCGGGGTGCGGGCACAGGTGTTGCACGGTCAGATGGAGACGCGTCGCCTAGTCCCCGCCGGTGGCCAGATCATACCCAGATGGCCCTCCAAAGCGCGGGGCTTTCTGTGCCGGGCGCCTCCGCTGGGGTGCACGGGGTTGTCGGGGTGCAGGTCTGCCCGCTGTTGCAGGTCCTGTGCGGGCCGCGGCCCCCCAGGGAGCGGCAGCCGGGGTCGGCAGGGTGCTGGACAGGCCTGGGGGCGCCGGTGGGCAGGTGTGGCGGTGGGGCCCGCTGGCCAGGGCCCTCGCCCGCGGGGAGCCGGGCTGGGTAGGAGCGGGCGTGAGCCAGAGGCGGCGGGGGGGCCCCTTTAGAGCCCGCTGCGCGCGCAGCATCTGGAACCGTGAGAAGTCGGGGCGTGCCTCGCGCGGGGGGCACCCCACAGCGTAACAGCTGGAGGCAACAGGGCAGCCCCAGACGCTTCGCATCGTCTGTCCTCGCCTGGGGACGCGGCTGCGGGGCGGATCGGTCTGTCCTCTGGCCCCTCGGCCGCGCCCCCTGGGCGTCCTCTCTGGAGGCGCTGCCCTGGCCCAGGCCCCTCCCACCGCAGGCGGCTGGCGAGAAGCTCCCGGTGTGAGGGTGTAGGCCTGCGGCCGGTGGGGCAGCGGTCAGTGCAGGGGCCCCGTGAACCAGGACGTCAGAAAGGACTGGGGCGCTCATTGGCTCGCGGGGCGCGACACCCCAGGCGTCCAGGCTGCGGGCCCTTGCCGGGCTCAGGCTGACCCCGCCGGGCAGCGCGGCCTCGCTTGACCTCCTCGGCTAGGCGGCGCCGGCCGGTCCTGCGGGTGGGGCGGGCCGTGCCCCTGGGGTCTCGGCCTGGCGGGTGGTGTGGACACAAGTGTGGATATTCGCGTGTGTTCCCACCGGCCCAGCGCCAGCCCCGGCCGCTCAGACTCCCAGCTTCCCCGTGTCCCCCGTCCCTGTCCATCCCCCTTTCTTCCCCCGCCTTTCCTTCCCCTCCCACATCCCCTGCACCCCTCCACACTCCGAGCTCTCCAACACCCCCACCCCCTCCTGCGCGCCCGCGCCTCCTGCGGCCCCACCCGCCCTCCCGCGTCCCGCCCCTGCCCTCCAGGTGGCGCCAGGAGACCGCGGAGCCGGCGCGGGGCGGGGCACGCGGCCGTGAAGTCTGCCGGCGACGCCTGACGTCAGGGCAGTCTACCCTCCCATTGGCGGGTCTGTGCTGGGGGCGGGGCAGACTGACCTTGACCGTGGACTTTCTTCTAGGTTCTGCAGGGAAAGCGAGGTCCGAGCAGCTGCGGCCCACAGCTAGCAGGGCAGCGCCCCCAGCCCCCTCCCCAGCTCCCTCCACCTCGTCCGGACCCCTAAGCCCAAGCCCCCCACTGACCTCCAACCCCGCACCCCAGCACCTCCCAGTCTCAACAGGGGCGGTGACCTCAGAGCCTCCTCACACGTGGCCTCCCAGCCCAGACACTGCCTCCTGGAGGAGCCCCGACCTCAGCTCCATTACCCCAGGCCTCACACCGGCCGCCCCTGAAGCCACCGCCTTGATGGCGGAGCTCTCACCTCCCCCTCCACCCACCTCGCCCCCAGAACGGACCTTGGACTCCTCTGCACCTGCAGGGGTGACCCGCCTTTCCCCCACCCCAGAGCCCACCCCAGAGCCTGACACAGCCTCGGGCTGGGTCACCGCTCCACACCCCAGCACGGCCGCAGAATCTTTTAGGTCCCCGCACCCGGTCACAAGCCCTCCCCCCACCTCCGCCCTTCACCCCAACACGACCTCTCAGCACACGACCACCCTTCTCCCCACCACAGCCCTTCCGGCCACAGCCCCTGACCCTGCCGTGCCCTGGCACCCCACTGCCACCAGTCCCCAACCCCCCTTCACCCCTCACCCCCCCGCGACGCTGGCCACTGCCTCTGCCCCTGGGAGGACCCCGCAGACCCTGACAGGGGCTGGCGGCCTCGCACCGGTGCCCGCGGTTGGGCCCAGCTCGCACCCGCAGGCGCCCTCCTCGGGGGTCCCTCAGCTCTCCACGCCCCCGACGTCCCTCCTGGACCCCCCTGTGGACCCGGGGACGGACGCCACAACACCTGGAAGCCAGAGTCCGGGGCCCAGCCCGCCGTCTGCCCAGCCCCCGCA